TCAAGGCCAGCCTGGTCTACAGAGGGAGTTCCAGGACAGCTTCTAAAACAATACAGAAAAGCCATGTCTCAAAAAACTAAAAAAAAAAAAAAAAACTCTAAAGGTTATATTTTGGTTGTTGTTATTTAATTACATGTATTTATTTGGAGAGCAAGGTTCAAACCCTACAGAAAACAATCTTCACAATCTTCAGGATTCAGTTCTCTTCCTTGTATCAGTTGCTGAGTAAGGATCAAACTCAAGTATTCAGGCTTGGTAGCAAGTGCCTCTACCTGCTGAGCCATCTTGCCAGTCCAGTCAAAACTATTTCTAAGAAACATATCCCTGTTTCTACTTAATTCTCAGTCCCTTAAGCAAATCAAGTTTTTAGTGTCACCATTAAGTGTTAAAGGATGTATTTATAATGTACATACATGGACCACAAACCCAATCATGTATAGGAATACACACACACACAAGAGTCTGTGTGGATGTAATGATTAATTACATAAAGACATATCTATATGCATCAACATCATATCATGACTATTCTCACTACACATAAATATGTAGAACCATCTAATGGCACATGAGGAATAACAATATGAACAAGTATGATCTAGATTTCAAACATTCACCAAGCATTTGAAGAAAAATATAAAAAGAGAATAATAATATAGAGATCCAATGTCACCTTAAAAAAAAAAAAGCATCCGAGTTTGGAAAATCCTGAGGTATTACGATCTAAGTAGAAACATGTTTGCTAAGCATGCGTGAGGCCCTAGATTCAGCCACCAGTACCACCTTCATTGATACATAAAAAAGAAATTACTAGTGTCGTAAGGTTTTTGGATGCTGGGGATTGATCCAACTAGGCCCTATATTTTAAAAGTCTGTAGTAAAAAGCCACAGTCCTTTCAGAAGAAAAACAATACAATAAATCCAACAAACATTTCCATTTCCCAAAAATTTGTAATAAACTGACATAAAAATCACATTTTAAGTGAACTACCGGCAAATCTTGTTTTTCACCTAAACCTATCTTACTTTGTGATAAAGCCATGATAATCAGAAAATAAAATAGTAAACTAAGAAAAAAGAAATAGGCCAAATTCTTATGGTAGACCATAGCTACTACCATAAAATGGTACAAATAACTGATCTACAAGGGATTATAGTAACATATTTTACAAAGCCATAATTGGGTTGATTTAAGCACTATATGAAGATGGCTGCCTGTAAAAACTAAGTTCAATAAACCCCAGTGGTCTTGATAAAATGGATTAAAAGTACATGTGAAATATCACAGGAAAAATAGTATTGTATTTTATACTAGTATCATGATTCAAAGCAACTGTGACTAGTTCCATGAATTCCCCATCCTGAGCAGATTATGTATTATTTTGTTGATATAAATAATACAAAATCTATTTAATGATTATTGATCTTAAAAATAAAAGGAGGTAAGGTCCTACATTCAACCCTAACACCACAAAAAAAAACAGTAAAAGCTCAAAACAGTCCTTTTCTCTGCCTCATGACCTCCATGATATAAATTGTTGTGCCTTAACACACCCTCCCCACCATGATAAATCGAACCATCTGAAGCTATGAGCTAACAAACAAAACCACCCTCAAAAAAAAAAGAAAAAAACACATGTTCCCGGCTATTACAAGTCAGCACATTTCACCAATACAATCTCCAAACATATGCATGGTTTTTTAAATTCTATGTTAGATATCTTTGGGGTTTATCATCTTTATGTTTTAATGAAAGCTATAAAAGCAGGAGGCTCCCTCAGCAGATACCCTCCTGATGATGAGAAGTGTCCCCTGTAGTCTCTAGTACTTGGTAGATTGGTTCCCTGATGTTGTTTCAGTAGGCTCAGGAGGTGTGGCCTTGCTGGAGGAATTATGTCACTAGGTAAGAGCTTTAAAGTTTCAAAGCCTCTTCCTGCCATTCCCAGTGAGCTCTCTGCTTCCTTCGGACATCTTAAAATGTGAGCCCACTAGTGGTGGCCTTTAATCCATCTCAGCGCTGGGTGACAGAGGCAGGCAGATCTCTGTGAGTTCAGGTCAGCCTGCTTTACAGAGTTATGTCAAGGGCAGCCAAGGCTGTTACACAATAAAACCCTGTCTCAAGAAAAGAAAATAAGTGAGCTCCCTCAGCTTATTGGCCAGACGCAGCACCTGCATGTGGCCATGCGTCCCTGCCATGATGAAGATGACTGACTCTTATCTCTCTGAAGCCATAAACCCAAATAAACCCTTTCTTCTATTAAGTTTCCTTAACAACAGAAAAATAATACGGAAGTTCACAGAAGGCAGGAACTGTGTCTCATCTTTGTACCTCTGACATGGTCTCAGGTTCACAGCATGCATTTCTTTTGATGAACTAGTCTGTGTTCATTCACTCAACAAGCATTTGCTTGCTATCATACAATGTGCCAGGTGATAAGGTATTCGTTAAAACAAGTTATACTGTCCTTGTTTGTAGACTTCAAATCCAGTGCAGGGAGGGGCAAATAAATAATTACACAAACAAACAAGATCATTAAACTGCTAATATGTGTAGTAAGGAAAATGAATAGAATACAAAAACAAAGGGGCTCTACTTAGAATAGTAAATAAAAGTCTCTCAAACCTTTAGAGGACATATTCAAAACTATTAGTGAGAAGGTACATAAATAAGTACTGTAAAGCTTAATAAGTTACTTTCTAAACAAATATAAAGGAGCTAATTTCTGCATTTTGAAATTTGCAATTTTCCAAACAGCTCCAGTTGTTTCCTAGCATCACCAATCTAAACATCGAATTACTAAATACTCTCTATTTTATATATGGTCATATGATTTAACTATTCCAAAACTACTATTTTTACAAACACATGACTTTTAAAGAGTACCTTCTCTACATAATTCAGCAATCAGGGAGAGAAGACTACTATTTAAACAGGAGCAGCCACTGCCATAGTACTTCGCTTGTTTTGGGGTTTTGATTGTTTTTGTTTTGGTTGTTGTTGTTGTCATCACTGGAGACAGTGTTGCTATGTAGCCCAGGCTCACACAAGCTCATGATCTTCATGCCTTAGGTTCCAGAGTGCTTGGAGTGCTAGGATTACAGGCGTGCAGCCCCAAACCAGGCTTGTGTTGTTTCTTAAAGCAGAAGTATCTCATATTAGCAAAATATACCTATACACTTAAAATCCTGTGTTGGCAATAGATATGTACATATAAAAAATCTGATGGATTGTGAACAACAATGTAAATATTAAAAGTGAAGAGGATTAGAACAGAAGGTGGTATCTTGGGGAACTCATTACAATCTGAACAGTTCTCAGAAAATTGGATTATTTTTTAAATAATTATAAACTGACATTTTAACAACTTTCATTATAAAATATATTACCATTTTGGCAGTAGTGTACACACCTTTAATTCCGGCCTCAGGAGGCAGAGGATCGCTGTGAGTTAAAGGCCAGTCTGGTCTCCAAAGTGAGTTCCAAGACAGCCAAGACTACACAGAGAAACTCTGTCTTGAAAACCAAAAGAAAAAGAAAAACATTATCCTGTTTTAAACTTGGGAAATTGCCAGTAGGGGGGGGGGGGGTGCATGCCTTTAATCCCAGCACTCAGGAGGCAGAGGCAGGAGGACCTTTGTGAATTTGAGACCAGCCTGGTCTACAAGAGCCAGTTCCAGGACAGCCTCCAAAGCCGAAGAGAATCCCTGTCTTGGGGGGGGAAAAAAGTTTTCTGTACATAACTAGTTTTATTCATTTTGTGAGGATGTTATTTATTTTTTTCAGAGTTCTAAGAATATTTTGCCCATGCTCCTATCAACTACAAGAGATATTTTCTACTAAAGCAACTGAAGTACTGGGGAGTTAATAGTTTGCATGAAATCACAAAGAAAGTAAGCAGTAGTACCAAGAATCAAATTGTGTCTTCTGATTCCAAAGATCATACAGCCATTCCTCTATTCCATGCAGTCTCTAGGAGACCACGGCATCCCAGAAATATGGAAATACCTAGGTTTGCCTGCCAAACTAAATCAACAATATCAACTTGAAAATTTGTACAGTTTTTAGACCTCCCATTAACTAGTAGGCTCCCAACTTAATAAACCAGTAATAACAAATCTTCATTATAGTAGCCCAAGGCCAAATTCACTGCTACTTAGTAGTCATAGAAATCAGAATCAAAAGCCAGCACCTTTCTAGCTGAAAGTTTAGTCTCAGCAAAATTAAGGCCCTTCTAACATTTAACATTTAAATTTTACTTCATACTTAAAAGCTTGTGTAAATATGCTAAAACAGGCTTAAAGGACAAAGGTTAAGCAAATAATGAGAAAAAAAGTACCAGGAGGCAGTATCCTAAGTCATCTAAATGTTGAAACTATGTATTTAACAGATAATGTATTTTCCTTCAATTTATACTAAATTATTAAAAAGCAACTCTTGACCCCATTGCCATCTTTGTTTCTTATGAGCTATTCACTGCAATTATGGCACTGTCCCTGGACCATGAAATTAAACACAACCTAGTGTGCACATAAGGAAAACATGATGAAGGAAAGGGAGAACAGGAAATGGAGGAGTGCAGACTATAAACACCAGAAACTGCAATTCATCAAACAGGAAGTCCTGAGATCACATGACAGGCAGGAAAATGAAATTAAAACTAAGTGAAAAAGGATCAAAATGGAAAGGCCTAAGAGCTCAGCAGGGAGAAAAAAAAAGAACTTTAAATAGATACATTTGTTTTTTTAAGCAATTAAATATCTTGATATGTTTAAATAAATAATCTGGTGACAGTTGAGGAACTACTTTCATTTTGTAGTTATGCTTTTCTAATATTCACTCGGTAATCATATTAATATCTGCTACCAAAACACTAAAGAAAGTAATTTTCTAATGTATAGAATTAAGGATTTATGGTAACCAGGTTTTTTTCTCCCAACAAAAAAACTCAGTATTTTATACTTGCACCCATGACATACCATCAGACTTCAATTGCTCTTACCCATTAATGTTGCTAAAAGACACAAGGAGTACATTTCTTTGTCAGCTTGCTCCTGAAGTTCCTTGGATGACAGTTTGCCAGGGACAGCAATCTCGTCTTGTTTCACAGTGTGGGCGGAGTGTGCTGCGGCTGAGGACTGACCACCTTCTGCTTTGCCTTTTAAGATCTCTATTGTAATTCTGTCACCGTGCTGTAGAGGAACTGGCTCCTTTTCCATCCCTGCCTGGGGTGGCATTAACTCTTTAGGAGGAAAGCCATATCGAATACACTGTAAATACGGAGGAATGTTGAACTCTCTGGCTATACTTTCCTGAAGTTCAAAAAAGGTTGTTGAAGACTTAAGGGTAACCATGGACTGTCGTCCATCATTAGTTGTTATTCGAATCTTCTTCTCTTTAGAAGTTGTAGGTGAGTAGGGAGCCTTGGTGGGGGTGGCAGGTGCCGACGATGGCCCATCACGAATAGTACTTGGGGAAACAGCTCTGGGCTGCCCCTTTTGCTCTTGTTTCAGTTTCTCTGTTTTCCGTTTCTGCATTGCAGAAGCTTGCTCTGTGATGCTCTGCTGAATAGTTCTTTCAGTTTTACTCATGTTTAATTCTTCCTTGTGCAGAGTTTTAGTTTTCTGTCCAGTAAGAATAATTTTAGTTGGTAGCTGAGACTCTAATTCTTGTCCTTGCACATCTCCAATTCTCTGAGCATGAGCACCATCTATATTTACAGGAGTGTAATCATCAGGATTCTTTTTTGCAGTCTGATGCAATATAGTGTGGACAACTTTCTGAACTAGGATCTCACTCCCAAATTCACCCGGAAAGTGCTTGGTTACAAGTTTCATTGCAACATCATAAACATTACTATTCAAAGATGGATCACTTTCATACTGGAACCAATATACTGTTTCTCTGACCACTCTTCCTCCCCATTCCAGAGTGATAGGAAAAGCTTCCGGGAGGTTGTCATATTCTTTCCCTTCCCAAAAGTGTTTGAATCCACAACCACATTTGCCACCAGTAGACCTGGAATTAGTTCTGTCTCCATCCAAATACACAATAGAGCCATCTCCCCTGACTCTTCGCACAGATGTGCCATGGCACCAATTACAGGCTGTTAGATTACTCAATCCATAGTCTGGTAGCAGAACATCTTTCAATGGATCATATGAACAAACCAAATTGTTTAAGGGAAAGCTGTAATTTTTGTCAGGCCTCAGCTGCCCATGAGTACTTTTTGCCAGGTTATACAGTTTCCCTCCTGGAGCCAGCCACTCAGGAGGGACGTGAAGTTCCGAAAGGGCACCACAGAGCAAACACTTGTGAAGGCGATTATCCATTACTGCCTTTTTAGCAGCTGCTGTAACTTCCTCGGGCTGAACTCCTATCACTCCAGTCCTTCTGTAGAAATACTGATGCACATCAGCAACCAAACTAGGATGGATACCATGTTTGTCCATAAAGACTTCTTCCATAGCAGCAACCAGCCTAAGTAAGTACTTATCTTGCAAACTTCTGTCTCCTCCAATAACACAGCCACCATCCTCCTCAAGTTTGATGTACTTCTTAATAAGATCCTGAGGCACACCCCATGCTTTAGGAAGCAAATTCATGGGCAGTTTGGGCAAAGCAGCCCCTTTTATGCCTACCAGGGGAATATAATGGTTTCTACCCGAGCTACTCCACGCAATGCAGATTGGCTTGTTCAGATGGCCATCTCTCCCAGTGCATTTCTCTGCAGGAATGAGCCCAGGTAGAAAGGTGGCTGAATAGTCACCAGAGCTTCTCATGCCACTGAGGGAATCTAAGAGAATTATGGGGCGGTGTAACACATTAGCAAGGCCAAATATGTGGATGTTCCTCAGGCCTAAGGGGACACCTTCGGGTGGCACAAACAGAGGGTCGCACTCATTGATAATGTCCTCCCACTCGGCAGCATCAATAAAGTCATGAAACAGGGCTTGATATCGCGCCAGGTGCTGCTGAAAGTGCTGCTTGAGATTCTCCCTCAGGGCATGCCAGAAGAGCTCTCGGCCCACTAGGGCCCGAGACACAGCATGCACCAGGCAGTGTCCATCCCCGTCCACATGCACTGGAATGAGGCATTCCTGGCTTTTATTGGCCCGTTTGATATCCTCGAGAGTGTCGTGCAGGTACAGGAGGCTTCCGGAGCGGTCCTTGCCGTAGCCCACCGTGTTGACGTGCTCCGGTTCGATGAGGAAGGCACGATCACCCAGTAACGCGCAATCGAACAGTTCGCCCTGGTTCATGTCCCGGAGAAGCTTGGCCCGGCCCGTTTGTTTGTCCATTCCATAGCGTGCCAATATGGGCGACAATAATTTGCAGTGGTAGTTGGAGAGGCCCATCACCTTTACGAGTTCCGTGTTCTTCTTGGGTGCTCCCGTCACCCCGAGCAGCGCGTTCCGCAGCAGATTGTGCAGGACCACGTCCGGGTCCGTCACCTCCTCCACTCCCAGCAGCTGTTGCTGCTCGTGCCGCTGTCCGCACTCGGTGCACTCGATGCTGACAGAACCGGAGGCCGGGAAGAACAGGCGCGCCTGGCACTTGGGATCCGGGCAGCTCCCGGAAAGGATCCTCCGGTCCCTCCGTTTCGAGAGGCCCCCCGGAGTAGCCGCCGCCGCCAGCGACGACGAAGTCTGCGGAGCCTCGGGGGGAGGAGGCGGCGGCGGCAGCGGCGGCGGCGGCGGCGGCTGAGACATCGCGCTCGGCTCTCGCTCGGCGTCCCCGGCGACCCTCAAAGGCACATAGCCAGACCTCGGGCGGCCCGACGAGGTCTAGTGCAGGCCCAGGGCAAATGGCTTTCCTCTCCCTACCAGTTCCTCCGCCTCCTCCTCCTCGGCGAAGGCGGAAGCGCCGGACGTTGTTTCTCTTCTCACTTCTCCACTGCCTTAGCCGTTGCCCCGAACGTAACGGCCACCACCCCACCCCGCACTCACACTCACTCCCTCTCGCTCTCTCCCTCAGACACAGACATACACGCCCTCACGGAGACTGCGCAGGCGTCGCTTCCTCGCTGCCCTCTGGGAACGAGAGTCTTCCGGCTCCTCTCTCGAGAAGCAGTGCTAGGAGCTTCCGTCCAGAGAGAACTTCAAGTACCATGATGCAAAGCGACGTGGTGCGCGAGGGGAGGAGGAAGAGGAAGGCATCGGAAGGTGGGGGGGGCAGAAAGGAAGAGGATGACGCGCGGGGCCTGCCGGTAGTTGTATTTTTAACTGGGTCTCTTTTGTAGTTTATTCCCCCGCTGTGGCCCAGGCGAGAGAGTCAGAGAGACCACTTTTCCTAGGATGCTGTGCGTAGTATCACGCCGCACTTTCCCCCTGGGCAGAAAGGAGTTTGCTTGGTGAAAACAAGAGTGAAAAAGAATGGTGTGGTAGAGGGTTTGAAGTCCACGACCGCTTCAAGGGTTGGGGAGTGGAGAGGCTATAGGGCAAGAAAGGAAAAAAAAACAAAAAACAAAAAACAAAAAAAAAAAAAAAAAAAACAATCCCAGTGGTATGCTGGCCTAGGAAGTGGAATTAAATGATTTACTTAATCCAGGATAAAGGTCCTGGATTAAATGTGAAAAGGATTAAGCGGGGAAAGGAAGCTTTCTATGGCGCCACTGTTTGGGGTTTTTTAGTATATTAAATTTTCAAATACTCTCACGAAATCAGTAGTATGGTCTTTTTCGTGTAGGTAAGATTTAACTCCAAAAGGTTAACGTTGTCATCTTTGACCACCTAGCTGGCAGTGCCGTAACTGATCTTCACCGTATTCGTAGTTACGTACTCCACTGCTCTATAAATTAGAGCAAATTAAATAGAGAAAAATAACAAGAAGGCGAGAATCACCTGACCAGTGACAAAATCTGGCCGTTTTGGTTGGGCCATAAGGAATTTAACTTATTTTTTAAAATATGCGTTGTTTGGACAGTGGACAGCACTTCATCAAAAAGCTAGATTTTTAAGGGTTAATATCAAGCCACCTTCAGACAGATTACCCCCTTGGATCCAGAAAACCTTTGTTTTTTTTTTAAAATCATACAGTAACTGGGGAAACCGTTGCTTATAGTGCCCTGGGAAGGCTGACACACGGAGATGTCCAGCACATGGCCAGCATGGGAACAGGAACTTACCAGAACAAAACAAAACCCTTATGGAGAAAGTATATTCAAGAATAAATGAGGTCTTGGTGAATTAGACTTGTAGAGCACTCTGGGGAAGATGGGCAGTCTTCATTACTGTATAAAGGTGAAAGGGATTAAGTACATGGTAGTTCCAAACTTAAGCAACTATTATAATCAAAGCCAGCACTCCAGAAAGAGCATGTTTGGGGGCAGCCTGGGAATTTACATTTTGAGCAGGGAGTCTGGCTGGTGAGTCTGGTGATGGGAGAATGACAGCTTGAGAATTACTGCTTGCCAACGTGTAAGAACACTTTTTTTAGAAAGCATCTTATTATATTTGTCTTTTTTGTTGTTTGTTGTTGGTTTTAGAACTCACTACATAGACCAGGCTATCCAGGAATTCACGGAGATCCACCTGCCGATACCTCCTGAGTGCTTGGGACTAAGGGTGTATGCCACTAGCCTGGCTTCTCCTTAAGTATTAAGGGAATGGCTTTCCATAGAATGTTTAGAAAACAAGTCTAAAAGAAAGGTAAAGTGGTCTGTTAGCAGTTAGAGATCACCATCATTAAGGTTTCCTATGCATATATTATATTTGAGATAGAGACTCATTAGCCCAGGCAGACCTCCACTCCACTATAGTAGAGGATGAACTTTTTGTCCTCTGCCTCTACCTCCCAAATGCTGAGATGTAGGTACATACCATCACACCTAGGTTATGCAGTGCTGAGGATTGAAACTGGGGCTTCATGAATGATAGGCAAATACTCTACCAACTGAGGTATAATCTAGGTATAATCTTAGCTCACAAATATGTGGGTTTTTTAAAGTTATCTCTTTTTTTAGATTATAATATAATATAATTACATTTCCTCCTTCCCTTTCCTCTTTCCAAAGGCTCACATATGCCCCCACTTGCTCTCTTTCAAATTCATGGTCTTAATTGATGTATCTCTCAAACTGTATTATATATAATATATATATGATAAAATATACTATTTTATGTGCATTGGTATGAAGGTATCAGATCCCCTGGAACTGGAGTTTCAGACAGTTGTGAGCTGCCATGTGGGTGCTGGGAATTGAACCCAGGTCCTCTGGAAGAACAGCTAGTGTTCTTAACTGTTGAGCCATCTCTCCAGCCCCAAACTACTGTATATTCTTGGATATATGTTTTTCTCTGATAGGATAATTTTTCCTGTATGTTTATTTCTGCTCAGTTGTTTTATTGAATTTGTCTGATCGTTATTTCAGTTAAAAATAATGTAAAAACCACAAACAACATAAAATACCTTGGGGTAATGCTAACCAAACAAGTGAAAAGACCTGTATCACAAGAACTTCGAGTCTTTAGAGAAAGAAATTAAAGAAGATACCAGAAAATGGAAAGATCTCCCATGCTCTTGGATATGTTGGATCAACATAGTAAAAATGGAAATCTTGCCAAAAGCAATCTACAGGTTCAATGCAATCCCCATCAAAATCCCAGCACAATTCTTCACAGACCTTGAAAAAACAATTCTCAACATTATATGGAAAAACAAAAGACCCAGGATAGTCCAAAACAACCCTGTACATTAAAGGAATGTCCGGAGGCATCACCATCCCTGACTTCAAGCTCTATTATAGAAAACAGCTTTGTATTGGCACAAAAGTAGACAGGTAGACCAATGAAATCTAATTGAAAACTCTGATACTAGCCCACACACCTAAGAACACCTGATTTTTGACAAAGAAGCTAAATTATACAATGGAAAAAAGAAAGCATCTTCAACAAATGGTGCTGGCATAACTAGATGCTGGCATGTAGAAAAATGCAGATAGACACATATCTGTCACCATGCATAAAACTTAAGTCCAAATGGATCAAAGACCTCAACATAAATCCAGCCACACTGAACCTCTTAGAAGAGAAAGTAGGTGGTACCCTTGAATGAATTGGTACAGGAGACCGCTTCCTGAACATAACACCAGTAGCACACTGAGATCAACAATTAATAAATGGGACCTCCTGAAACTGATAAGCTTCTGTAAGGCAAAGGACACAGTCAACAAGACAAAACAGCAGCCCTCAGAATGAGAAAAAAAAATATTCACCAACCCCACATCTGACAGAGGGCTGATTTCCAAAATATACAAAGAACTCAAGAAGCTAGTCACCAAAACACCAAATAATCCAATTAAAAAGTGGGGTACAGAACTAAATAGAGAAGTCTCAATAGAGCAATCTAAAATGGCTGAACGACACATAAGAAAATGCTCAATACTCTTAACCTTAAGGGAAATGCAGGCCAAAACAACTCTGAGATACCATCTTACCCCTGTCAGAATGGCTAAAATCAAAAACACCAATGACAACTTATGCTAGAAAGGATGTGGAGAAAGGAGAACACTCCTCCACTGCTGGTGTGAGGCCAAACTTGTACAGCTACTAGGGAAATCAATATGTTGGTTCCTCAAGAAAATGGGAATCAGTCTACCACAAAGTCCAGCAATTCCACTCTTAGGCATATACCCAAAAGTTGCATATCCATACAACAAGGACATCTGTTCAACAATGTTCATAGCAGCATTATTTGTAATAGCCAAAACCTGGAAGTAACCTACATGCCCCTCAACTGAAGAATGGATGGAGAAATTGTGGTACATTTACACAATGAAGTACTACTCAGAGGAAAAAAACAATGGAATCTTTAAATTTGCAGGCAAATGGATGGCACTAGAAGAAACCATCCTGAGTGAGGTAACCCAGTCACAAAAAGACAAACATGATATGTACTCACTCATATATGGATTTTAGACATAGAAAAAAGGATTACCAGCCTACAGTCTACACCACCAAAGAAGCTAGCGAATAAGGAGGACTCTAAAAGAGACATACATGGTCCCCCGGAGAAGGGGAAAAGGACAAGATCTCCTGAGCTAATTGGGAGCATGGAGGGATGGGAGAGGGAGTTAGGAGAAAGAGAAGGGGAGAAGAGGAAGGGAGAGGAGGACATGAGAGAACAGGAAGATGGAGTCAGGGGAAGAATAGAGGAGAGCAAGAAAAGAGATAGCATAACAGAGGGAGCCATTATAGATTTAAAGAGAAATCTGGCACTAGTGAAATGTCCAGAGATCTACAAGGATGACCCTAAGTAACAATCTAAGGAATAGTCAAGAGGCTACCTTAAATGCCCTTCTCTGATAATGAGGTTGATGACTACCTTATATGCCATCCTAGAGCCTTCATCCAGTAGCTGATGGGAGCAGAAGCAGACACACTCTGCTAAACACTGAGCTGAACTCTGGAATCCAGTTGCAGAAAGAGAGAGGAGTGATGAGCAAAGGGGTCAAGACCAGACTGAAGAAACCCACAGAAACAGCTGACCTGAACAAGGGGGAGCTCATGGACCCCAGACAGATAGCTGGGAAACCAGCGCAAGATTGCTCCAGACCCCCTGAACGAGGAGGATGTCAGTTTGGAGGTCTGGTTAACCTATGGGGCCTCTGGTAGTGGATCAATATTTATCTCTAGTACACAAATGGACTTTGGGAGCCCACTCCACATAGAAGGATACTCTCTCAGCTTAGACGCACGGGGGTGGGTCTAGGCCCTCCTCCAAATGATATGACAGACTTTGAAGATCCCTCATGGAAAGCCTCACCCTCCCTGGGGAGCAGAAAGGGGATGGGATAGAGGGTTTTAGGGGGCAGGGGAGGAGGGGAGGGAGAGGGAACTGGAATTGTAAAACAAGCTTATTTCTAATTTAAATGAAAAAAAAAAGTAAAACATCATGGTTTCTTTTTTCATTAATTACTGTTACATACATATATT